GGGTCCGCGTTTTGCATAAGTCAGACGCGGCCGTGTGTGAGTGCAGGCACCGTGATATAAATCCTGGCGCGAGGAGACTGCCCAGTGGCTACCTCCTCCTTCCTCGGCCTCCTGTTCCTCATCCATCCCCCTTCATCGCTCCTCGTGTCCTCTCCTAATCTCCCCTCTCTCTCTCCGGCTCGCGTCTTCTCGCGCTTTCGCCTCTCTCTTTCTCTCTCCTTCTCCTTTCCTGTATCTCCTCCTTCCCCGCCCCCCTCCGTCTCGTATCCTTACCGCGGGACTCTCGAGCGCAGTATGGTGCACCCTGTTCTGCATATAATGTACCCAACCACCGTTTCACCCGCTGCCTTCCCCCTCCTGTCCCGCCGTTGACTGGACTCGCTCCACCCTACGGCACATGCCGATCGGCGCAACGTTGATGACCCACGAAAGGATCATTACCGAGCCAACGAGTACCAAAGTCTCTTCTCCGGCTCCCAAAGGAACATGATCGCCTCTCGCTCCAAGAGACTTATCTGAATAAACGGCGCCGGCACGAAAAATTAACAAGCTGATAAGGCGTCGGCTGTGCCGTAGCCAAACGATCGAGCAGGCCCAATCGCGTAATTATGTGATTTGTATAAGCAGATGTGAAATTTACAAAGTATTTTCGACAAGTAATATACGATGCTATAGATACAGAAAATATTCAATAAAAAAAATATGCAATGCGAAAAGTCTTGGCGATTCTCGATCGATTAAAGCATTCCGCGAAATAATGACTGACTGGTCGCGTCGATCATAAAATAAGATTGCTGACGCACCAGACGAAATAGATCAGGACCGCAACGATTTTCCAACGATCGATTGCAAAGAGTGATGCACGAATCACGGTAATCTTAAATCGATATCTCGGGGTGTTTAGTAGATTTACCGAGGCAGCCGGGGCACATATAATCCGATCGTAACAGCCGATGGTTGATGCCGTGCCTCATCGTAACGAACGGTCGCCGCGCCACCGCTGCACTCTACGTAATACGTTTCAGATAAGCTAAGAACGCAGTAACTCTCGCGCCGTAATAATTCTAACAGACGTACGAGAGTCAGGGTGGATACGAGTTTTTCAAGCACTGTCGCTTAAAGTTGCGCGGAGAGCTGTTGAAAGTACGGCGTCACAGCTCGCGAACGAACGAAACGAATGAATACAATTAAATCTGTTACTTGAGAATGTTATAAAGCTCTCCACATCTACTATTTATTTCTATCTACGCGTGTAAAGTCACGATTTTTAGTTCAAAAGGAATTGACTCAAAGAAACTAATATGATTAATATAATAAATTATATTTAGAATATTTATAATAAATGTTTTTCAGAATCTAATTGAGATAATAATCTTTTTGCAATAACAAAATTTAAAGCTGCAAAGCAAAGATTTACTGGCAAAAACACAAATATGCGGCACAGTTCTTTTCTTCTTTTCTGAGAATCATTACTTATATATAACCTCTTTTTGCGTAATTTAGCTCTTTTACTGCGACACGTTCAATTACGCGACGGGCATTAAATCGATTTCGTGGACGTGCAATAAGCTGATCGGGCAGTTCATAATTTTTTTTAATGAGGTCGAATTGACATCGATGTGCGCGTGTCTTGCATTTCATTCGGTGGGATATCGATTGCGGAAGGGAGAAAGGAAAAGAGAAAAAGCGAGAGGAAGGAAGCGTCGAGAGGCGCCTGTTTCTCGAAAAAAAAAAAGGTACGCGACGATAGCACTTTCGGTCGCGAATAATTCAGATGGGGGAGTCGTTTAAACGTCCGGGCACGTCGCTCGACAGGTGTAGGCATCGATTAGCATAAGGTACGCCAGCGAACACGTAAACACGTCGCGGCCGAGCGATCGATGGATCATGATCGCGCCGATCTTTCCGGCGATCATGATTAAAGTGGGTCTTTAGCTCGAACGTAACGGATCGTCCGTTCGTCGAAAGAAGCGCTCCTTGAGGGACAAACCCCGTATATTCTCGGACGGATCGTCGCGGCCTCCGTTCGCGCAGGCTTCTTTCACCTGTGTGAGACGTCCAAGAGACCTTGGCTGTGATTAACACCCAGGTAAGCAGACTCACCGGCTCGTATATATGTCGACCTGTCGAGCAGGTTCAAGGCTTCCCCGCCCGAACTGATCGACGAATTTTCGGGAAATTCCGCGCGTTAGCAAAGCAATTGCCAAATATTTGTGAAGACATTTTGATTGTTATTAATGTAATTACTAATTTACGCCTTTGCGTTTTTTTTTTCTATTTCGCGTATAAGAGCTATAAAAGCCGGATAAAACTTGAAAGCAAGAAGGCAAAATTTGCGTCACGATGATAATTGATCTATCGTTGATTCTAATAATACGAATAATAAGGATCCGTCGATTATGCAAGTTAAATCGATCCTCATGTGACATATTTAGTTCTCGGTCCCTTGAACCGCAACCCCGAGGCAGCTCAGGTGATCATATTGAATTTATGCGCTCAGTATAATGGCCTATTACCGGCGCACGCTGTAATGATCGGATGGGCCGATGCTAATGGGGATAGCGAGATTTTTTTTTTTGCAATCCTGCAGTAACCGCGAAACTGCGCGGCTTTGCTACCGAGTTACTGCTGGCCGCTGCGGCATCACGCGCGTAGTCTGCAGCAAGGGCGATCCTTATAAGGGTTGTCACCGTGGTCGCCCGGATAGGATAATAAGATACTACCTTCTTGCTCCTGGATCCTGGACAACGGGCGGTAGCTGTCTCGATCGTGACCGTCTTGTCACGAAGCAACCCGCGCCTAGCGTCTGCCTTTTCCCGTGCGAACTCCTTTATGAGCGAGTGCGTATCCTTGATGTTACCGGCAGTTCCTTACATCGCGTCCAAATAAAATCTAATAAATATATAATAAAATATGTTAACTAAAAAAATTAATTCTCCACAGAACTTCCGCCGATGTCTCATTTAACAAACAAAAAATGTAAAGACAGAAAACATTTAGCGTTCGTATTGTTATCACATAAACGTTTTATCACAAAAATAGCTTACAAACTATTTACAAATAATACTGTAAAAATAGAGCTATTGTTTCATAGAATTCCTCTAATAATTATTATCTCGCAATAAATTGAAAAATACAAAATATATTATTAAATTTATCCTACAGTAAAATAAAATGATATTCATATATATATATAAATTCATTCACTGTGTTAAATAATCTTCGAAATTCATATTAAAGTTTATATATAAAATCAAACCAATCAAAAATTTGAGAATTTTTCATCTGCTCATCTCCGTATCTCGCTGATATATTTAATCCAACTTTAATATAATCTCGTATCTCGAGTATACGCCTGTTTCGAGTGGTATCTGACGAAGCACCGATAAGTATAGTCCCGAGAGCGACCTAATCCCGCACGTTACATATAGGCAAGCATCGAAGTTCACGAGGATCGAACGCACCGGGGCCCCACAGATCGTATCTGGCGAGTGAGTTTACGTAGAAATTCGCGTTCTACCGGCGGTGAGCAAGCAGCCGAGCTGCCTGGACCGACCTAACTTCACCGCTCTCCGGGAGTCAGCTTCGTCGGCTGCTAGTATCGCACTACGAATCGTCTTTTCTGGATCCTCACCGCATATATTATCACTTCGACTGCGGCGAAAGTCCACCAGTGAGATCGAAAAACTTTCCTTACACTTCTAGTTTTTTAATAAAAATATACTTCGATACAAAAAAATCTATTTTTTTTTAAATTATTTTCTCGGTGTAATATTTGTTAAAAAATCTCAGTTATTATTCGGGGATTAAATATTTCAATAATAAAGAAATAGTATTTAAAAACATTAAGAAAAAAATAGCAAAGCAAAAATATTAATAAAAAATATAGCAAACATTGCGGACCAGGAATATTTGCCAGGAGTAGGTTAAACTTTTTATTGAAATATATTAAGTGTTTTATCACTCACTCCATAATTCCAGACATCTTATTTTTATCCTTAGCTTAGAAAAAAATTTTAGAGAAAGACGTACGTCTACATATATTACGAGAAAAAAAATGAATTCACAGAAAATATGTATTCTACATGTGCAAAAATTATCCTAAAGTATGCCAAGTTATTTAAAAAACACAGTTACACTTTTTCTTAAATAATGCGATATTTATTATCCGCACAATGACTTGTATATGCGTTCCATCATATATGCGCAGACCGCACTCGGGCGCGTTTGGCTTGGAGCGCGACGCTTATCCGAAACCCGGTGACGTTTATGGACCCATACGGTGGTTGCGCGCAGCGAGCTGATCGGTTCATAAAGCATCCGAGCCGCGATTCCCTGGTAGTCACAAATCAACTCAACTGGATCGTTCGGGCCCAGTGTTTCAGCGATCTGCGATGCAGCCGCCGGAATGTACCTACGGGCCCGCGCTACCAAGACGGACACAAGGAGGACCCGGGAGGAAGGAGGAAGAGCGGCGGGGAGGGGGAGAAACTCGCACACATTCATGTTGGTTAGAAGCCCCCGTCGTAGAAGCAACAACCGAACCTTCGTCTTCTTCGTGGTCTCTCTCGCAATGGACGCGGTGTGATACACGTAATGCGACGCCCTTAAATCACTGCGGACCCAAACCATCTCTCTGCCCTTTCCCCGTCGCCCCGCCACGCTCCCCAACCTTCGGGGAAGGCAGGCTTCGCAGTAAAAAAAGATGGATTTATAAGGGGCCGCGAGCAGCCTGGCGTTTCGGAGATTCTTCTCGTTTGCGATTCGGGGATGTATCGCCCTCGAACTGCGCCTTATGCCTTTCTCTCTGTCTTTCTCTCTCTCTCTCTCTCTCTCTCTCTCTCTCTCTCTCTCTCTCTCTCTCTCTCTCTCTCTCTTTCTCTCTGGAAGTGCCCTATCGATTCGAGGATTATGCGCGATCTTAGGTCCCTAAGAGTCAACTGCCGCAGAACGTCAGACTCTGTCGCTTTTAAGAAGATGCATGGACGCAGATGCAGATCACCCCCTCCCCCCCCCTTCGCTTTTAAATTTATCAACGCGCTCGATCCGAGAGATTCGACAAAGCGATACGAAATTTATTCCTTACACGAAGCTGGGCGTTCGAGATATATGTCTTTCCGCTCCTTATTTTATGATTATATATATTCGCCTTATAATTTAAAGGTATTTAAATATATGTAGAGGAAAGAGAATAAGTATATTCCCCTCCTTGGTCGATCGATCCGGCCGCATTTAATAATCATTCTCGACGCGACGCGTGACGCAATTATTGCAGGCGGCGGGATGCACTCTGCATGTTGCATACATGCCAGCACGTATGTCCTGCAACTCTCCCACGGACTTCCCGCGCGCTACAAGAGAGAGACCATATTGCGCGGTCTTGATATTTACGATTGAAACAAATCAAACGTTATCAAGCATTCCGGACCGACGATAAAGAACACAGAGGGGACGCGTAGGCATCCGAAGCTCCCGGGGGAGACGTCATCGCGAAATCCTCCTCGGTGGCGTCTCTCGTGCGTCGAGTCGCGTCATGCTCGCGTTATGCATCGCGTTATGCATCGCGCTACCGACGATTATTGGGTGATAACAAACGTGTTATTACGCCTCCTGAAAAATTCACGAGAATTATCGCTCGGCCCGCGCGTCGGTGCACGCGAAGGTACACGATATGTTTATTCGAGACAGGGTGTTTTCGTGATGCGAATTATACTGCGATGACTTGTATAGCGATTTATAAAAGAAGTTTGGCGCTTATGTTATAACATAAAATGTAATATAATACATTATTGTAACAGAAAATTTGATGTAATTTTTTTATTTTGAAATAAACGTAAGAAGATATTTTGGAGCACACTTGAGCCTCGCTCTTTGTATCGCTATCAAACCGATGTCTAAGATTTTAAATACAATAAATTAAAGTAAATTTTTCATCAATCAAATTGCTATATATAATTCGATGCATTAATCAAAATATCATCTGAAAAAAGTAAAAAATATCGCAAGCGACACTTTGAGCGATTACCGTCACCGCGGAAGTAATCTTTGCGGAACCGATGACTGAGATTTTCCGCAATCTGCCTAAAGTCGACACGCAACGTTTATCTCGAGGACGTTCACCGACACTCGATAACTCACGATTAGCGTAACACGCTCGGAACAAGATATCGTCGTCGCGGAGCAAAAAGTCCGGCTGTTTCGGCGCGGACGCGCTCTTAAATCCTCGAAGAAACGACGCGGCGAGACGCAAAACGAGCGAGGAAGCTGGGAGAAAAAAGAGCGCGGAAGGGAAGAGAAAGATGGATGTAAACGCCGGATGCACACGCACAGACGCGCGCATCGTGGTTTTTCAATCGGGTTTTGGTGCGTCCTTTAATTCGTCGAGGATAACGCCTCACCCCTCCCGCGGACGCCCGCGCGGCGCGTTTCTACATTTGCATTCTCGGAATAAGAGGTGCACTCGCTCGCTCGCTCGCTCGCTCGCTCGCGCCAACAAGTAGACAGCGGGCATCGAATGTTTAATTCAAGATACGCGAGACAGAGCCGGTGCGTGAGAATGAGCGGGAGGAAGGGAGAGGAGTCGTGCGTGCGTGCGCGCGCGGGAGAGAGACGGAGCGAGCGAGAGAGCGTAGGGTAGCAATTGATGGGACAGGGTGGCGCGTTTGTTGAGCTAATTACTGTAAGGCGAGGCGCTTACTCGCGCCGCTACATACAAACGGCATTAAAGGTGGTGGTCATCAATCCCTGGTAAGGTCTCTTCGCCCGCCCGGCGAGTCGGCCCTTCGCTTTGCCACTGAGGACTCTTCCCTTCGCGTCCCTCGCCACCTCGCGCTCTCCCGAGACGCGACATTAAGGATAAGATCGAATCAATGTATTTGTAAAGTTGCTCAGTTCAACGTAATTACCAATTCCAATAAAACACACTACTTGAATTTGCGACTGTAAAATTATTAAAAATTTTTGGTATCATGTTTCACGATAAAAAAAAAAATTTACTTTATACAACTGTAAATAACGATGAATAATGATACATTTTTCATTTTGAATTTTATCCGAATCAAATCTGTCGTAATTAATTCGATGCGGTAGAAACGACGCGGACAATAATGATTACATTTGCACAGATTTGAATACTTCGCGTTGTCGGATTCGATAAATGACTTTCGCGAGACGTGAATCGGTGAGCGTTTAATTGACCAGGTTCTACGATGCCTGTATAATCTTTTCCCGAGGAAGTAGGCATCAATATTTTTGACGCAGAAGCCATTAATACCGTCGCTTAATTGTATAAACTGCGGTGGGAAAGGATGCGCATTTATTTTGCATTTGTTTAACACCGAGATTGATTATTATTGGCGTTACTACTCGATGGGTACGTGTTGCCGCGGGATACAAATAATGCAATATTAATTGACCGAGATCCGCGTTGGTCGAGTCTATCGATTTCTATCTAGCACTACATGCACTAGATTGAACGAATTAATATCCCTCTACATCTAATTAAATCGGTCTTCTTCCTTTAGCTTACTTTGAACAGCGGTTGCACTTGATTTATGCATCGCATGATGATATATCGCGTCGATATTTAAATGTCCTAAACGTTCCGTTTGTAAAAATATTAAAACTAGCTCCGTGTCCGTTTTCCCGACCACAAAAGAAAAATAAAACCAAAACCACTCTACAACTACAATATATTCATTTTTCCAAGTTATTTTCGCTTATTCTATAAATTTACCAAGCTTCGTCGAAATCGGACCAAGACGGTGTGCGAATGCTGCTGCTTCCTGTTTCTGATAAACATGTCACGAGTAATGATTTATTACATCCCCATCCTTCAATTTGCAAGAATGATAATTTCCGAGGTCCGCCGTGGAAAGACTTCATTATCCGTCTAAAATGTCGGCGCTCCCGGGAGAGCTTGAAATCGGTGCGTACATCATCTCGCGCCCGATCGGTGTGCGCGCACAGTCCGGTCGCGCACCGCCCGCGAAGATGTCGCGCGTGTTAAGGCCTCCGCCGAACCGGTGCAGCGGCGCGTCGCGGCATAAATAATAGCGGTTGATAATTAAGACGGCGTTTCGGCGCTAAGCGCGGGACGGTGCACCCGCTGTCTCTCCTCGTGGCGCGACACCGAACTCGCGCGTGTAGACACGCGAGAAGACCGCGTCCACGCCAAGGCGAGGGAAGAGCAAGATATATCGCGTCTCGGACTCGCGGCAACGATGGAATTTCAACGATCTCTCGCAGGGGATGGGAGCTGGTGTATATCGGTAAGGGTCCTTCGCTTTGTGTCCGTTTCTCGGCGTCTCGTAAGGGAGAGAAAGCGACGGGAGAGCGCGGGAGAGGGATCGGAGAGAAAATGAAAAGGGCGCACGGAGGAAGTCGCGCCATGTGCGAGAATTCCGCCGCCGCGGTAAAAAGTATTGCGCGGATTCATCTGGATAAACCGCGGCGCGATCAATCACTCGGTGATTAAATGCGCTACCTACGGAATCGAACTCGTCCATAATTTATGGCGGTTTTTCTAGATAAGATATAAGGGACACGTCGAGGCATGTGACACAGGTGTTCATGTAGGAAGTACCCTCGTTATTGAAATAACGCGCTCGCTGTGTCCAAGATAAAAGCGACTTTTACGCGCGTGTATCTCAAACAAATGTTTGACTGCGACAAGACGATAGAAACAGATTATTTAACTTGCTCATGTAGATTAAATTAGATAATTTTTCTACTTTTTGCATCAAGCTTTTGTCTACGGTGTAAGTAAAAATATATATTTTATTATCTCTCAATTTGTCAATGTTTTTGCTGTTTATTATTATTTTCTCGTCTCGTCGCCATTATTATCAAACATCTTCAGAAAAAGTCCACAGTATACAAGATTCCTTATAGCGGCAAGTAATTATGACAAAGTACCTCAATTATCGTACAAGTGACAACGTTAATTATGAATAACGCCTGAGCTTTAACATAAATCGTTGAATTCAACTATCAGAATTTGGAGCAAAGTTTGGACACTAATGTAGTTAAATAAAGAGAATTACTCATGTGAATAAATGTTATCTTGCATGAGTTGTAGATATTATTAACATAATTTTCAAATTGAAACTAATATGATCTAAGTAGAATTTGGATCTAATTTTATGTCGCGTATATCGTGACACACATATATATATATATATATAAACATTCAACATTTTGAGCAAATTGTTATTGTACTCCATTTCTGTACAATTTAATTTACTTTTATAATTATTTTTAATTATTTTCTAGACACAATTTTCTAAAAAAAATAAATGGCGTATATAATTATGATTTAAATAAAATGTAACGCGGACTGAAATTTTATCCTCTCGGAAAATTCAACGACAAAAAAGAAAAAGGCTTTATTTTTGCGATCAAAAGAGACAAGGATGGAGTTAACTATCGCACGAGTGCTCGGATGAGCACTATTGTGAATGCGCGGCTCCTGCGCCATCGATATAACTTTCCAAGTGTAATTGAGGGAATAAAGTCCGCAAAATTTCGCGAGTCACGACGTTGGCGAGGATCGTAAAGAGGATGAGCGTGTCCTGGCGTAACCTGAAGCTGCGAAGGGGCTGCAGAAACGCGACGAGGACACGTCGGGAAATGAAAACGAGGGGCGTCCCGGTGCCGGCGACGTCCTACCAACCCCACGGGGAGCCGGCACGTTATATCTTCATTAAGCAGTATACCTAACCGTCCTGTCGCGACTTCTTAGCGCTTCGCAGCTCGCGCTAATTCCGCGTTACTTCTTCTGTCTACATATCGGTTTCTCTGATCCCCACGTAGTCGCGTAAAGACGTTCAAAAAAAGAGCGAATCTTTTTGCACGTTAGCTGCGATGATGATACTCTTTGGGTACTTTTTCTGGAATTCTTTAATATTTTTGCGAAATTCTGAAAATATCAGAAAGTCTGCCGAAATTTTTTTGCAAAATTAAAGAGATTTAAATATATTGTATTTCTCTTTTTTAATTAATAAATATATTTTATAGTATATTAACGGTTCTTAATAATTTATACAAAAACTTGCGTATTCTCACTTAAAAAAATATATCACTATTATGACTAAAATCATCATTTTTGTTTGAAAAATTAAATTTTGACAAACTGTACGACTAATGAATATTTTATTATTTACTCGATTATTCATCTTTATATTTTTATATTGATAGCGGATGTATCAGAAAATTTCTCACATATAAAGGGCAAAGCCTTTGGTCGGTAAGGACATGGTCGAGTGTCACTTCGTTTCCAGCTTTTATTAAACCGGACAACCTTAACAGCCTCCTTTCGGTATCTTTCGGCAGAGAAGGAACCAGCGCGAGCGGAGCCTCCTTAGGATTTAATCGCGACCCTTTGTCCAACGAGTAACGCCCGCGAGTCCCATGGTCGTGTCGGCACCGAGGGGTAAGGTCCTTCCCCCCCTGTCCCCGACGGGTCTCCCTGGTTGCGGAGGAAATTCCAGGTCCCCGAATCACCGTAAGATCGGGACACATCGTTATGGGTATCCGCGCGGCTTCTTCGTGCCTCTCGCTCGCTCCCGGACGGTATCGGGGCGGAGGAGCCTCGGTCCAGAAGGAGGACGCGGTCGTAAATATTCGGGCGCCAAATAATGCCGGTTCCGAGCGAGAGCAAACGACCACGGCTGCCGGCCGACCCGTAATGAAGGACATCCTCATTAATTAGTCAATAAATTATCCTTCACGCTCACGACGCCCGTGGTCGGCCTCCTCGCCCGCTCGCCCGTCCGGGAGCGTTCGAGAGGGACGCGTACTTTACGACACCTATCTCGCGCGACAGCACGATGCATTTCTCACAATCAGCAGCCCCGAAGACGGAAAACGCGTCTCGCGGGACGATCTACGAGGTGGTCCCGTCGCGTCGCTCGAATCTCCGCCCGGGTTCGCGGTCACGCTCGAATCTCCCGAGAAGCTGTCGCACACGAAGAACGAAGAGTCGCCGATAGCGCGAGGTGACGGCCAATCACGACGAAAATAGAATCCCGGGACGAGCTCGCGCAAACCTGTTTCGACAAAAGCGCGTCAAGGTGGCCGGATGGCAATGGTGTCATAAGGCGCAGGATGAAGATTGTATATAGAGTATGAAGAGCTTGGTCCTTGCACATATATGGGCCAATTTTGTATCTTCATAATACTGATAATCGAGCCGACCACTCGTTTCTACGCTCGTCCAGATCCACGCGGTGCGCAGGATCAGAATCGGTAAGACGCGTTCGTAGATGGTGCGATTCTTACGCTAATCATTATAAGCGCGTTCCATATGAAAGCAGCGCGTGCTGCTTCTACCAGGTGGACAGTGTAATGTCTCGTAATGTCTCATGTCGTACGGTGCACTGAGCATAAAGATTGGATCCTATACGTGTCCAAGTTACATACCGTGCCACGTGACCGTATATCACTCTAACTACTTCCTAGCTCGGTACAATCCCACCGACTCACGCGGTCGCGAAGGACGGTGCTCATCTTCCGAGAAATCGCGAACATACACGATGTCGCAATGTATCAATCGTTATTTAAAAAGGAGCATATTTACTCATCCGAAAATATCTCGAAAGAGTTGTTAATAGCAAAATCTTAAATATTATGTTAGCTCCTAGCAATAATCAAACTTGAAGAATTTTCACATGAAAGTATATTAGAATGTTCTTCTTTGTGTATAATAATCATTTTTAAATAAAAAAAACCTTTACATATACGTAATATTCTCGCTTATTCAATTAGCAATTATAAATAGAGGAGCCTTAATTAAATAACTTAAATAAATACTTAATAAATACTAATTTCTTTTTTGGCACTGTTTTGGTTAGTTGAGTGTAGAATCGTTAGCATTAAAATTACCGGAAAAAATTTTGAGGACGTAATCATTCGCCTCGTTTGGTGTTGGAAAGTCCTTGGTGTGAGCTTCCACCAGATGAGCACGAAGTTCTTTGGAGAAGTTCGTGCAGAATACGTTTCCCATTTCCTCCGTGCAAAAATCACATTCATAAATTGTCTTACCTGGATGTAAACTCGTGGATACTACGTGTTTCCGAAGATTTTCCTGCAAACAAAAATTATATCAAGTTAAATTGAAATAGAAACAACTCAAATAAACGCTGAAGCAGATAATTAATGATTAAGTAGAAACAATTATTAAAATTGCGTGATGTAGCGGTCGCTGACGATTGCCAAATATCCTAATGTTTTTAACGGCAGCGCAATTAACCAATCAACAACCGATATTCTTATAATCTAACGACTGTTATTAGTCGAATCAGGCACATTTTACGAGCGTGTACTCGATCGTTTTACGCAATTCTCCAATTCTCATCGAGTTCTTCAAATGAGCCTGCTGTTCGGATGTCGTTATTAAAATCTCATTCGAGTTAAACGCTTATACAAAGGAATCTTTCACCGCACTCGGACGCCTCGAATCAGATCGGCCTTTCGTTTGCGCTTGTACGACAGCGGATACTCGGTGGTGGAATCGGTTCGCCGCAGAACCGGACGTTCGCGTTCATTGGCTACGCCGTTGGCGCATTTAAAGACGCTTCACCCTCTCAGGCCCTAAGTAGCCGGTCATGGTCGTAAACATCTTCTTACCAGGCGGGCTTATACGAGCCGTTGATGGCAACAGCAACATCAAATTTAATTTCCTACAAGTAAATCTTCCCGCGGGGCAGCGCAGATTAAGTCTCGTTCACACCGCCATGGGCGGTCGCGCGCTTTGACGATTGTCACGGAGATCGGATCGCTATCATGCGAATCTAGCATGGACGTTTCATTAGACCAATTGAGTTTCCACGAGTATAACTTCTCCTGTACTGATGAACTACACGCTGCTATAAGTTATCCGAGGTGTAAAGCTGTGCGGTTCGCTTTTACGACCGAAATGATGACTTGATGAATCTAATTATTTTTGAAAGTTAGCAGCTGCAGCACAACGCAACAAAAACTGTTGGAAAATGTATCTCCTATTTTGATATATCTATTATATCTGTTTGACAAATTAATATTTTGAGTTACGCATCTGAACAAAATCAGTATATATATATATATAAATTAAATATATATATAAATACGTAAAGCTAATATTCCTGCTATTATTTAATGCACATAATTTTCCATGCAAAAAATAATTGATATAAATAACGAATAATTTTCTATGTTTATTAAAAAATATATAAATCGCATAACAACAATTTTATATGTATGTAAAGAAATCGTTTTACGATGTTTTTGATAAACCCATTCCAGACTATTGCCCCTAGGAAGCCGCAACGGATATTTTATCTCTTTAGCGTCTCTCTTAAGAAACCGCCGATATTAATTTTCTTTCGCGGCAGAAGGAGAGGTAGAAACGCGGCCGACTGCAATTACAATATAAACGTCCCGCTGGATGCGCAAAAATCGCCGAGAGCGGCGGACAAGTCAGCTGCACCCTCGACCGCGCGAATGGGTCGTAAAATTATGGAGAGAGACGGGGAGGAGACCTTAACCCAGATCAACGTTTTATCAAAGATCCGCTTTTGTGAGGTTCGATTCGTCCGCCTGTTTTTCTCTTCTCCCGCCGAATGTCTTATAATAAGTAAAATTTAATTGACCGTCTCGCGTAATGTTATATGGACCAATAAAATCGTGGATAATGTCGGCCTGTAATTCCTATTAAACCGATCCGCGAAATTTGTCGATCGCGGAATGTAGCATGTTGCAAAAAGTAAACTTTGTACAGATAAGCGGGGAATGCGTGACTGATGCAGGCAATAAAAGCTTTAATCGTTTTATGTTGTAAATAATTAAACGAGTTTGAAGGAAAGAGATTGAGAAAGTGTTGCGAGCAATTAGAACATGCCTGACGCATGAGTCGGCAAAACAAAAATTAAAGATAATACGACACGAAACGGAAATCATATATTTGTAACATTGTAACAAATTATTTAAACCTCTGGCTATCGCTATTAATTAAAAAATAACCAATGTATGATTTTGTAACTCTTATTGTTGAAGATAAGACAAATTATTCATCGAGCATTGCTTCAATTTCTACAATATTTACCGCGATTCAAAGTCCATCGGAACGAAATAAGAAGCGACTTTTCGCTGACTTTTCGACGATTGATGCAGGAAACAGGACACAAGTTCCGGATTCAGCGTTAACCGCTGTCAGCTTGAGGAGTTACCACCCTCGACGAAAGTTTCCCAAGTGCCGGTGGTAGCGAGCCCAAGCTGAAGGGAAGCAGGAGGGAAGACGGTTTCGAAGCAAGGACGGAAGTGCCGGTCGGCAAAAAGAGGCGTGTAACCATCCGAGATAAATCATAACGCGGAGGGAAGAAGGAAGGAAGGAAAGTGGCGCGCGTAATCTCGTCGACGCAAGGCGAGCCGTCTGCTCTACGTGGAAGAGAATCCCCCCCTCGTTAAATCGTCCCGCGCGTTGCTCGCACGTTCCTTCCCTTATTAAAGTACCGTGCAAACAGCTATCGTCGGGATCCGATACTTTTTCGTAGTCACGATGCATCCCTCCTCCAACACATTATTTTTTTCCCATCTTCGGTCGCGCGAACATCACCGATTTATCGGCGCTTTGAGATTGTACAGCGCTGATCCTGCAGATCCGAGAACAAAGATCAATCGGATATACATGCCATTACACGATGATTCCAAAATATTTAGTTTGCGCTTTACACGCAATATTTTGCATTTTAAATATATAATTGGCTGTCTTTTTTAAAGACTAAATTAATTTTCTTTACATAAAAACGAAGCTTTTTTTGTATTTTTTTAATTTTTGTATTTTTATTTTGCAGCACTTTTGCCGCATCGATAATTGATTACTTCTTCTTGATCCGACTTCGTCAACAGCAACAAACACTTGATCGAAGTATCCGCGAACACGATTGAGAATCACTGGAATGAGTTTATGTCGCTATCAAAGAGACAGGGAGAACCTCGTATGCGAGTCGCATCCCAAGTCAAGCTTCAAAGGACATTAGCATACCGGCCGCACGGTATGACTGGGCTGTGCGTGTGTGGGCATCCAGTGAGCACAATTAACTCGTTATCTTATCGCGCCTCGGCAGCGGCAGAGACGGCGGCGCGGTCCAAACGTTAAGGTGTACTTTGCTTAATTTACGCCACGGAGTCACCGGCAGGACAAAAATTGGACTATGTCGGGATTACAGGCGCGAGTAAACCTCCGAGAGCGCTACCACCGCGATGTTAAGAAAGAACGAGCTTTGAGTCATGACGACGCCCGCGAGCGTCGCGGTGGATGTGTGCACGCGATAGACCCTTCGAACACACATGCATACCGGAAAGCGTGCATGATGCTACTGGTTTTAATCGCGGAGAATGATACGAAGTTCTCGCGACCTTTGCCATCGCTAAGCATCGTTAGAAAGTCTGATCTCGAATTACGAAATAAAATCTAAGATAGGTTTCTAGATTTCTCATTTTTTCAATATAAAACCGGCCAAAGTTGATTATAATACATATAAAAAGGGAATTATATGGCATACGTGTAATAGAATTTAAAAAATTCTTTACCTCATGCTTTTCGTAAATTATATATTTGACATAGTAACTTACCAAAGCGTTGCACGCATAGGAACAATGTCGACACTTATACGGTTTAGAGCCTGTATGCAGCCGTAAGTGCCTTTGCAGATGATAACTAATTTTCGTTTTAAAATTGCAACCCTTATAATTGCAGCAGTGGACTTTCTCCTCGTTTGTGGTACCCTCGTGCTTCTTCCTATGCCTGGAACAAATGCAATCACGTTAAATTAGAACGATACCAATGATAATCAGCAGCCGTAAAAGATTCTTGCAAATTTACGCAATTTTATGAAAGCGATCGTTATGGAAGCGTTCTTTCCGTTAATTAGACTCTTTCGGTGTTGAACCACTGACGCAGGCAATTAAAGCATAATGATAAGGATTTACGTATCCAATATATATGCACGATTATTACCATTAAATGAAAATTCCCATTGGAATTGAGCGGACGCGAAATTTATTGGAGCCAATCGAAGCATTTTATGAAAGTCTGATTAACGCCCAAGCGCTAATACCGGTCAACGCAGCTATTAACGCCAGATAAACTTTCCGTGCCGAGGTGAAGTCGATACCAAGTATCTAATCTCGAAAATATATCTGTTGGGGCATCATACCGGTCTAAGTTGTTGCCGCGATACTCGCCGAAAAAGATAGATACGAGTTTGTCATCAAAAGGCAGTTAGACGAGGTAGAACACGAAGGTAAAAGCAATATCTTCTAAAACATATCCAGTAGTGAGATTGTTATCAACATTGCAGCGTTAAACGATTTATATTACAAGTCAGCTTTAAAATCAACTCATGGCTAATTAAGTGGTAATCACATCCAGCGATTTCAACTTTGAAAAGTATTATTTAAGATCCCTATTCGACAAAAATTATTCCAATTTAGTTCTGGTATAAATGAAATCGAGATCCAACAATTTACTGAATTTATTAAAAATGAACAATTTATAATAATTAATTAATTAATGCATGTACGATGTGTCTGGAGAAAAATATTTTTATACAATCAGGACGCAACATCAATGTAGAAGTATATACTTTTTCAACATGGAAGACGCGAGATTATATCAGAGATGTGTCCTCCTCATCGGCGTTTCCTCCTCCTCCTCTGTACGAAGTTCATCGTCGCAGTCGCGGCCCGGTGATTATGAACGATGCGATATGCGTGCGCGATATTACGAGGGGAGGAGGGCGCCGTTGGCCGCGGCTACGTGTATATCAGGTTCGAGATGCGTGACACGTTTAATTAAAATCCCGCGTGATTTACTCTCCACTGGGGCTCTCGCAACGAGATCGTGGCGCGGGAGGACGGGCGAGAAAGAGAGGAAGAGAGAAGGAGGCGGGAGGGGAGCGACGAGTGGACACACGCGAAAGAGAGGCGTCGGTGGAAGAGAGTCCGCGACACACTCTGCGGCTGCGTTGAGTTCGACTCACGTAGTAAGTACTCAATTCACGATGAAATATCGCGGCGACCATCGGCCATGCGCGGACGATCATAACGGGTTGCCCGCACTTAGCCGGTTGCAACACGCAACTTCCGCTTTCGCGGTCCTCGATCTTTCTCCCGCGCCATTCCTCTCTCGTTCGCGCCCGCCTCTCTCTCCCTCATCCGCGACATTCGTATTTCTTCTCCACTTCTCTCGAGAGCTGTCGCGGGAGCGGGAAAAAAAGTGCGGCGTCAAACGAGGCGAAATTTATTAGAGGCGCTTCCCGCGCCACAATGGCCTTAATAAGGCTTAATTTAAATCGAATATCTCGCTTTCGCGCAAATTCATGAAAGGAGGTTTAATGCGTCACGCGATTTTTGCAAGCTCGAATATCGATCAGGAAAAAAATTTAAAAATTGATCAAAGTGGAACTTTTATAAACATGTTGCTAAATAATATTATGAATTTGCTGCACTGTGTTTAATTCTTAATCGGCAAATTAAGTTAAGCTATAGGAATTTTTTCTTGTATAAAATAGTCATTAATATTTTATATTTTAAATAGAAAGATAAGATAGAAGTGTAAATCCCCATATTTTGTTCACGAATTGTCAAAGCACTGTCGTTTGTATAAAATTAATTTAGCAAGTTTAAATAAAAGTGAAAAAGTCAAAAAATATTTATACGTTTTTCAGTTTTTCTCTGCATTTTGCTTCTTCAAAGATTATTATCAATATTGGATATAGTCTAGTGAGTTGAATAGAATATCTCATGTCTGAATGAGTCGCGAATTAATTCAGATACAGATGATCCCGTCTGTGTCTTAAAATAACTAGAGAATAAATCCAGAAGAGATAAAAAGCGATACGAAAATTGCCGAGTATCGAGGCCATGCGCCGCGCGCACGGAGATGCAATCGGATTTTCGATAAATTACTCTTCAAATTATATCCTCCCCATTGTCTCTATCAATAATCCGTGAAGATTGATTCTTTCGCTGTCCGCATCCTCGCAATTACGTATGCGTAGCGGCGCGCGACGCGAGTACTTGCGTCCTCGCAATTAATTCTCCGCTTCCTCGAAGCCATCGATCATACATACGCGAGCCGTGAGCCGCGCGATTAATGGCGCAGGAATGCGTTGTTCCCGCCGGGGACCTCGATTAAAATTAATGTCAATAATATCGGCAGTCCGAGAAGTCGTGCCGCAGCCCTCTGCGAGATGGAGCAGTGGATCGCACGCGAACTGAATTGTTAAAAAGATCGTCGTATTGAAGCGCTTCGTCTTACCCCATTTCGATAATCGCTAACGAGCTCGAAATATCGAGCACCGGTGTGTGATACTCAAATATTATAATCGTTGTACGATTCTGACATTATATTTGACTCACCGCCTTCTGCCGACACGTAACGATGAAATTGTTACGTGCGTTGAAAATTTTTATCATAAAATTATTAGCTTTCGATTTAAAATTTATACACTTTGCAGTTTCTCTGCTTTGCATTGCAAAACAAATTTTTTATCTCTTTCTTTGTACACGCTTAAAGAAATATATACTTTGACAAATTTCTAAAAATAATCTGTCTAGATTAATTCATTAAATTACAGCAAATAATAAATTTTGATCTGATTTTATTTACCTTCTCAGCTGCGGCTGCGTTTTAGTGGCGTACGAGCAATTAGGACATTGATATTGTTTACCAACGCTATCGTGGACCAACTTTCGGTGCCTCTGGAGCTCGGATGGAGTGCGAAGAACTGTGGGGCATCCCGGAAGCCCACACCTGTACTTCTTGCCAATGTGTCGCAGCATGTGCTGTTGAAGGGAATATCTAAAATATTAAAAAACATAACGCATACATTAGTATAAAATATTTTTCACATTACACAGCTTCAACCTACATATTTCCTAATATACTTCTTATTATAATATTCATTAGATATTTTTACATCTTATATCACAAGCAAACATATGTAAATGAGAAGCGAAAAATATGGAATATAACACCATTACATTTGCTATTCTAAAGAGCTATCAAATGGAGAACTCGTAAAAATTAAATGCCTTTAGCTGTGAAATTAAAAAAAAAATTTGCTTGATTATCATCTTGGTATTTCGTATAAGTATATTTCTGCCTCATTCTTACTTAATCTTCTTTCACAATATAACTGCGCTTTAAAATGTAACGATAATTTTGCTGGAAATGCGTATGGCGCGTTACAAGGATGTTGCGCGATTTTTGGAATGCCGCTATTGGCCGGCGCGACGTGTCGCAAATAATGATTTTGTGGTGGCGAGAGAACGCGGCGCTTTCGTTAAATCCAACTTGTAATAAGACAGCACAATGGTCCTCGCGTATGCCTGGTACGCGTGTGACTATCGGCCCGTTCGCACGCCGTACGATCCGATCGCAGCTGTTGCATCTTATATCAATGTGCACGTCGGCGGAGCGCAACGCAGGCACGGCGCACTTTAAATAGTTCCCGTCACGAGGTGACGATCTATACGGTTAGTGAACTTGCCGTGTTGCGCTAAGTGAGTCAACAAGACGTATTGAGGCCCGGATCTAGTTCTGTGCGTTTGCCCGCGCGCTTCGCTCGCCGTGCGGAATTCCCCATCCTTTAAGCGCAAGTGAAATACGAGTGCAATACGGCTGCTTTATAATTAGATGGAAACGAACATTCCGCTCTCCGCATCAGTTCGAAAGCAACTTGAATTAGCAGAAGCCGAGCCGGGAAACTCGTAAACGCGATAAACACGTGGCGGCACTTTTAATTAACGGCCGGCTCGCAATCGCGGCGATAAATGCACATCAATCTGCTTGACCATTTGACGCGTTTAAAATCTAATACAGATCCTAATGTAAATTGTCGTATGTGTAAACGTATATCCTATTATCTATGTAATAGCTACTACATAGATAAATTAAAAAGATAGACTTACTTTGTATTAAAAAAATTTTATGTTACAATAGAATCAACAGAAGAATTTTTCGCTTCAATAAACAAAAATGTTTCGAATTCGCGATTAAAGTGGCGATTAATTTACTGCAATTTAGAGGCACATCTTAGCAAACTGTTCCGCGACATTATGCAAGGCGCACGAAGAATCGTGCAAGGAAAGACACGAAGCAATCGGCGCGCGCTTGTCGTAGAAACCCAAGCGCGTTCGTCGATGTTATCGAAATCGGCAGCAAATTTCCGAACGTAGTGTAGCCACGATCTTCCCGTACGTATCTCTGGTAATCCTGTCCGGTGCTCCTGTCGGCAGATCTCGAGAGCCTCGGACGAGGCCGGAAGAAAGTGCTCGCGGTAGCAGAACGAGGATTTTTCGAGATGGCAGTTCGACGATATCGAATTCAGAGTTCCGCGGAAGCGAGACAGAGAGAAAGAGGACGACGAGGACGCGGCGACTGGAAAAAGAGAGAAGAGGACAAAACCCAAGAGGTCTGGGCCGTCCTAGAAGGAGTCGGCCTATCCAATTGGCTACGCAAGTGTAACGCTGAGCTTTACAATGTCAGAATATACACGCCCTCGCACGAGCCCGCGGACGACGCGGCCTACCTGGCTCGCCAGGTGCGAGCCAGGTAGTCGTGCGAGCTGCGTATCTGGACCTGCGGATACCTGCGGTGCCCCTGCGTGTGGAAACAGGTACCCCGCTAGATACCCTCGCGTGCTCACGCATTTCGCTTGCGTGCGAAGCGGCGGACCAGAGGCGACAGAATAAAGATAAGGGTCAGAGACGTGTGATCTTACTTCGTCATATCAGATTTCGGGCTTTCCGAGATATCGCGATTGGTTAATCCGAGAATGTATCGCGGCTTCTGTTCGCCGTGCTCGCCCGTCGTATTTCTCTTTTTACAAAAATCGCGATGGCAGAGAATAACCGATTCGGACAATTTCAAATCGTCTCACGATATACTTTTATGGCAGGATTTTAATCCAAAAGTGATATAAAATGCAGAGCGTAATTAACACATTTAACAAATTAAGTGGCACTTTTCAGTTCTAAAGATAAAAAAAAGAAAAAGATGCTTGAAAAATATGAAAAGGATTAGAATGCTCTTTTCCGCGTCATATTTTTCAGTAATTAGTAAACTCAATGGCAATGCAACAGCGAGAATCTGATAATAGACGGGTTAATGAATGACCATGCATATATACATGCAGAATACAAATAAAATTTGCAACACAAAGATATGTGGGTGGATAACATCTCACATTTCGTTGCCAGTGAAGATTCCTTAAAATATGCTCTACGGAGATGTTAAACCCTTCTCAAGGCCAAGTTGTTTGGTACCGTAACATTTAAGAGTTTATGTCCGATGAATTAAGCGTTTTGGGATTCTTTGGCTATACGGGTATTTTGATTCTCCACTGCACTTTTTATCATACACAATCTCGGGCATATCTTATTGCTGATCTTTTATCACAATTTTTTCGAGCAGTGTAAACAAGATGTGAAAAAGCTATAAATTATTAAATATAACGATCTATTAATATGCTTTATATAACATAAAGATTATTTTTTATAAAAAGACAGATATTGAATATAAAGCGGTGAATAGAATATCGGTGATTTTTAATAACAGATAGATTTGTAATTAAATACGAATTCCAAAACTGAGTTTAATCATGATTCAAACCGCCAATTAGTATATTCGTCCATAGCAGCTGAATTATCAAGAAAAAAAGTGAATGTTGATATATGTTTCATTTCGTGCTATGTGTTCGCGAGCCTCGCGAGAAAGATGCATAATTTAGTTAGCTGTGGAAGCGGTCGTTTCTTCTTCACTGCACATCACATACACCACGGAAATAATAAAATCCTCGTTACAATAAAATCAAAGAGATCGTACGAGACTCGCGGACCGTTTCCTTGATAGAAATTAATGACGGGCGTGACTGTATCGGAGTTCCTATACGCTGGCCGCGGTGAATCGGTTCAAGGTCCGCTTCATGAACGCCGTAATTGCGCTGAATTATGACAGTCGAGGTATACGAAGACAAGACCTTTCCGGTGGATCGAAGCCCGCGATAAAAAGTGACAGCAATGCGTATAAAATTATTATCTGCTTGACGCCTTGAAAAATATTTTTCTCGTAATAATGCATTTTTGCACAAAATTTTATCTCACATATGTAAAATTATTTTTATTTTAATTATTGACGCACTATATGTTGATTTTTTCAAACAAACTTTGGCCCGCAATGTAAAAAAACTTTTTTGCTTTGTTTTCTACTTAAACAAATTATTTCTGACCGCTTGGAAAAAAATGTATTCGTGTGATTTACTGTATTACACGCTGCATTACATTCTCAACGCAAGGTCATGTATTAAAGATTCGCGTAATGCAAATTGTTCGCCAATATGGTTTCCATAAAACGTCATAGTTTATAAGTCCGGGGAACATTTATACGAAAGCTTCGACCGCAATAATTGATTTTAATCAGCGAGCGAGCGAGTGAGCGAGGGCAAGACGTCGGTTTCACACGAGAACCCAGATCTACCCAAAAATATACCGCGACCGCCATCCATATCGATCGCTCGCTACACCCGGTGCTTGAATTATGACGTTGAGAAATCCCGCGCGCGACGCATACTGCCGCCACGCTGGAATTCCGATAGAACAATATTAATATCGGCGCCCGGCGAGAGCGCGCAACGCGTTAACGCGAGAGACTAAAAGTGATGATGAGGAGGAAGAGAAGGTGGCCGGGTCTTCGTTTTTCAGCGAAATGTCGTGAGTATGACGAAAGATCGTTAAGAGGAGAACTTTGGTTCGGGCAAGCGGATGCGGTCGCCGGCGAATGATTTAGCGCGACGTCCGCCGTCATCTCGTGAAAAAAATACCGAGTGATTCGTCAGGCTTTAGAGCTGATTTCCATTTAAAAAGACTAATTCGCCGTTATTAAATAATTATATTGATGAACGCACAAATACGGTGACGCTTCTTGGAGAAACCCGTCTTGCGGGAGGCGATCGCGATTTCCGGGCGGCCTCGCGCGGACCGCCGTCGTCTCCTCAGGGTCATGCGATCCCTTCGGAGGAACGAGCGCATGGCACTGCGGGCCGTTAACGGCCTGATGACTTTATAGCGTTCCGCGCGAGTTTTTAACGCTTTTTATTCCACCCGAGTCCTGCAGCCGTAAAAGCGATGACGGGCGAAGCTAAGGTTTCACTTTACTTCACGCGTCCGTTGATCGGCATTTGTAGCCGCAACGATACACGTTGTATCGTCTTCGTGTCGTTCTGCAGTGCGGACTAATGGCTATGATCAATTTGCGGAATGGTCGTGTCATCAAAGTGTACGATATTCTAGTATAATTTAATTTTTGCTAAATAAAAACATTATTTTTATCACGTATTTATGATTTTATCACGTCTTTCGATATCTCAAGCAGAATTTAAATTTTCGAATGCGAACGGAATATTAAAATCACGTAGTCACTAATTAAATAAAATTACACAGTCGACCACTTAGACTTCATAGCCCATTAAACATATCGCGTTATGATTGGTGGAATTAATGCTCGCCCTTAATTGCTAATGTGTACTTTCATCAAATAGGCATATTTATCCTATTTGTCAAAATCTGATTTTCCCGCGTATCGAAGCATCGCGGCGTCATTGGCGAAGAATTCAACGTGCGGATGAGTTTCTCTTCCTAATTACGCGAGTCGTGTAACCGGTTTATCATCTCACATCAGAAATTATCTCGTACAAATCTAATATATACATTCGTTACAAATGCCAAAGTAACTATGATGACCCCGTAAAAAAAAAAAGAGTAACATTTACGGTTTCGAATAAACGGCAATAATTTTACAAT